GAATAAACTATTTTAAGCCAAATTGGAACTTTTATCTTCGGTTTTGTTCACTATACTTTCCGTGAATGAGTGGAAAATATTGCGCAAACACATTTCTATCTTTTGTCAAAATAACATGCCAATTTTGAAAAGAGAGTTCAACGAGAGAAAATAAGGGAAATAAAAGAAATATATTTTGATCCCCAAAACTTAATACAGTCCAAAGTTTGAATAAAAAACTGATGTCAACTAGTAGCAATTGAAATGTCTTTATTTATGTTACCTGACTATGTTCAATTTCTTGTCTTGAAGTTTGTGAGAAAAGGCAAGTAGAGTGAAAATGAGGCAGAGCAAAAGAAGGAATGGACTCAGATGTGCCAATAATGAAAACTGCTTTCACTCAAAAACAAATCAGACAACACATTTTGGAACTCCCAGAGATGAAAGGCCTTACAAATGTACACAATGTGAGAAGAGCTTCAAGCATCAACACATGTTACATCTACACACCAGGGTTCACAGTGGTGACAAACCCTACAAATGTATGCAGTGTGAGAAAACATTTAATCATTCATCAAATTTGCAAAGACACCTCAGAGTTCACAGTGGTGAGAAACCTCACAAATGTACTCATTGTGACAAAACATTTAATCGAGCAGCACATTTGAAAATACACCTCAGAGTTCACAGTGGTGAGAAACCTTACAAATGTACTCGTTGTCACAAAACATTTAATCAAGCAGGAACTTTGAAGATACACCTCAGAGTTCACAGTGGTCAGAAACCTTACAAATGTACTCATTGTGACAAAACATTTAAACATTCAACAACTTTGAAAATACACCTCAGAGTTCACAGTGGTCAGAAACCTCATAAATGTACTCACTGTGACAAAACATTTAATCGAGCAGAAAATTTGAAAAGACACCTCAGAGTTCACAGTGGTGAGAAACCTTACAAATGTACTCATTGTGACAAAACATTTAATCAATCAACAAATTTGAAAATACACCGCAGAGTTCACAGTGGTGAGAAACCTTACAAATGTACTCATTGTGACAAAACATTTACTGAATCAGGAACTTTGCAAAGACACCTCAGAGTTCACAGTGGTGAGAAAGCTTACAAATGTACTCATTGTGATAAATGCTATACTAGAAAGTGGAACCTGAAAGTGCATAACAGATCATACCATGGGAATTGGCCTCACAAGTGCAGCTATTGCAGCAAAGGGTTTGAGAGTCGGAGGAGCTTAAAGAAACACCAGTGTAGACAACTATCTTTGGATAGAGAGAAATTCACTTGTTGGATGTGTGGTGAATTTTGTCACAATTGTTGTGGCATACTTCACCACATGTATGAACACGGTATGAAAAAAGAGTAAACTGATGTTTAGTCTATTATTTTGGGGCACATGGGTTAATTAAGCTTGTGGTCTCTTCTGGTAAGTCCAACACTTGGATAATGTGTTTGGAAGAATGTGGTGGTTTCCTTTTGCACAGAGACATAGAGAATTTAGAACTGATATAAATGATTTTATATGGCCACACTGACACGCGACATTTCTATATGAGTGTTAAAAATTATTTCACATAAGAGCAAATATAAGGTGGCTTAAGTACCAGTTTCCTTGCACAAGGAGCAGGCCACATGTGAGAGAAACACAGAAAGGAAGCATGAGATTTAAAAGACAAAATTTCCAAACAAATATGGTGGCACTAGGCTTTTTTCAGTCTATGCAACTTCTCTCTTATTTTGTAAGGTGTTTGCCTACCAGAGTGAATTTGATGTATTCAACAGCCACTTCTCTATAGGAGACAGAAACCAAGAGAAAGAAGACAATTCTCAGTGACATAAATGTTGCTCTGCATCTGAATGGAAAATCCAATTGATACAAAATCTCATTCATTTAAGCCTCAGTAGGTGGTCAGTAGGTAGCATGAAAAATATTATCACACAAACAATATGGTTGAAATGTTCAAATTGATATGAGAAAAATTAAGTCAAGTTTAATCTTTAATCCTTATCGCTTTTGGAATAACCAACCCAGGACTAATGGGGTTGATTTACTTAAATGACCATTTCCTTGTTACAGTAAGTTACAATTTTATAATCATTTTCTTGTTGCAGTTGCAAGTTTAATTCTTGTTGCTTTTGGAACAGTCAACCCAGGACTAATGGGTTTGATTTTCTTGAATAACCATTGTCTTGTTACAGATACGATAATTGTCAGGGGTAGTTACTTTGTTTTGTTATTGATTAATTTTTGTATGTTAGTGAGGAATACCCTCTGTAGGGAGACAATTGAAAATGTTTAGGGTTTAGTTTGGATGCATGAAAACAAATAAATAATTTAGTTGAATAAAGTTATTACATGGCTTGACTATTTTGCAGTTTGTTAGCAATAGCAAAGTAGACAATCATATAATCATGATTTGTAAGTTAATTTATTAGAATAACAAAGGAGGCTCTGTAACTGTCGTTAAGTTAAATATTAAGTTTTAGTGAGACATTATTGCGACCTCGTGCGTTGTGGGCTCATGCGTTGTTGCTAATAGGAGTCGATGCGAGTTTTGTGCGATAGAGTTATCTGCGATAAAGTTATTTGCAATCATTTGCGACTTCTGGTTTATGAGGCGTACAGAGAGGATAATCGGTAAGTGTATTTTTCTCTCACCTTGTTTTCGTTTATTATTTGAACGATTATTGTTAGGGTTTATGCGCTTGACCTTTGTGTTGTTATGTAATAATTATTGTTTTAGTTTAGCTCCTTGTAATGTTGCTTAGACTAGGTTTTCTTGTTTGTGTTTGAGTTTGACGTGTTTGATATCAGATTAAATTGTATTGGAATCAAAGTTATATGGGTCTGGTGTCAGATTTAGTACCTCGATGTCCTCTATGCGATAAACGCCTACAATTACAGGCTCGTTATGACCATTATGGGTTATAGCAGTAAAGGAGTTTGAGTTGAAAAAATCAAGGGATGGGAAATAGTGATGGGGAAATTACAGATACTTCAGGTATTGCTAAAAGATGATATACTTGACTGGAGGGTTGGACAGGGGAAAGTACTCCTGAGAAGCCATCATCAGAGTCAGGTGATGAGCTGTCACAAGGGGAATTGTGCTAAGCCTGGTTTATGTAACCTGTTTGGTCAGTTTCTCTGTGATGTTATTGGCTATAGGACTCAACTGCCTTAAGTAGGTCCCGATTGGTTAGTTACATTAGGTGGTTCTGTATGGATCATTCATGGATAAAATGTGAAAAGTCATTTGTATGAATTATGTCATTAGTTGTCAAGCAGAGCTGAGTCCTGAATCTAATAACTCTATAGTGTCCCGATCGATTGGGTTTGTGAGAGTTATTGTCATTTGGATGCTTTCATGTCACTTGGGGTACTTTTAAATGAAACGAACCAATTGTTTGGAAATCTTGCCCTGTTTCCACAATTCTTTGTTCATTGCTAGAAAGAAGAAAGGATCGCAAACTCCTGTACTTTCCTAACAGTTATAATGATGACTGAATCATTTATTAAAAAATGAGACAACACGAAAGAAAAACTATGTGTGTTTACTCCCCTGGCGTGTTTGTTTCAAAGATGCGGACACTTTGTGCCATCATAGAGGACGTAATTTGCTCCGTTCCCGCGCTGATCATTTGATCCGTCATATTTCATGGCCAGGGTGCATTTCAATTCTCTTCGCTGTAAACTTGTCTTTTATTTACTTTTATTAAAAACTAGATCATTGGATAATGCAATTCAAGACTTTTTATTGGCTTAGCCATTATGGTATATCAGCCAATATACCTTCATCTACAAATATGGCAAGCGTACGTGTCAGCTTAAAATTAAAAGGGAGCTAAAATTTTAATAAAATTTAATAACTTAATTAAACGTTTTTAATAAAACAATTATTCCACTCGCTCTTGTTGGATATGCGATGATTATACCCAACGAGGCGCATGGCGCCTCGTTGCCTATCTTTCATCTCATATCCAACGCGCGCTCATGCAATAATTGTTAATTATAACATATCAAAAGTACAGCGCGCGCTATGATTGGTCAATGTAGCTGTCCCATTTGCCCACGGGTGTACGCTGCTGACGTGAGCAAATGTTTCCAAGTGAGCAAATTTTTCGTAGGAAACTGTTTCTTTAAATAATGGCTGGAGTCCCTTCTGCCGGAAATGTGAAAATGTCTTCGAAATTTCGGGAAAATGAGACAGAAATGCCATCCTCTAAATTATTTGATTTCTGATTTCTTGAACCACCTCCAAAGAGATTTGCGAGTTTAAGTGAAAGCGAACTTGAATTGCTTGAAAGCGAGCGGCACTTCAAAAAGACAAAAGAAACCACAAACTGGTGTGTCCACATTTAAAGGTAAAAAAGCAGCTATCAGAGATAGCCTGACACTTTTAAATAGGCTTCAATAAAGCTAAAAATAAGAACAAATTTGTTCCTGAAGCCTTTACCACTGAGTAAAATGTTTGTAACCGTGGAACCCCATTTAATGCTGTACGTAAACAATCTTGACGAGACTTTTTAAATTTCATTTGTTTCAGAGCGTTTATGATGATTAGAGGTTAAAATACTGAAATTGAAAATTTAAGGTCTTTCAAAAAGAGAATTTTGATAGACCGTTTCTGTTTCTCTTAATTTCAGCTTGGTGTACAGAAAAAAAAATTCAAACCCCGCTTGAAGAGATGAGTATCGGCCAGCTGGAGCAAAACCTACGAAGGTTCTGTGCAGAAGCCAGAGCGAAAAAGGGCGAAGATTACAGCAAATCTACCTTACTGGGATTCCGTCACTCAATGGAAAGATATCTCAATGTCCCTCCTTTAAAGGAGGCCTAAAAATTTCCACTGACTCGAGATTTTCAAGATCAAACTTGATGCTAGATGCAAAAATAAGAAGCCTCAAGCGAAGCGGCAAAGAAAATGTCACACACAAACCTGCTATCAAAGAGGAAGACCTCCAGAAGTTGAAATCCAGCAAAGTCTTTTCATTGTCTCAACCACTTTCCCTGCTGAGGAACGTTTGGTTTCATGTTGTCCTTTTTTTTTTTTTGCCGAAGGGGCCGTGAAGGTCAAAGAAGCTTGACAACGAAGAGCTTCAGGTTCGTAGGTACTAAAAGTTGGAATCACCTGAAACCATCTAAAACCACAAAGGAAACCACCTGAAACCACCTAAGAAACCATCTAAACCCACGTGAATCCATCTGAAATCGACAAAACAACTCGAAATAACCTAAAACGTCATCAAACTTAACAAACTAAAACGGAGATAGTTCAAATTTATAAATACAGTTAACTCTCTCGTAAGAGACCATCTCGGGGTCAGGAGAAATTGGTCGCTTATAGGAGATAGTCGCTTACTAAATAGGAAGACAGGAAGCCCAAACAATGAGAATCCCAACAAAGGAAGTCCAAACCATTCACAATTTGATCTTGTGCAACAGCCATCAAAGGCTCGACTGTTTTAACAAACATTTGAACGTTTTAAATGATAAAATGTCTTACAGCACTGTATAAACATTATCGCAAATCGGTATCTTAATTTTCACCATGACGCAAAGCTTCTGTATTGCTAAGGATGGTCGCTTACGGTAGAGGAAAAGCAATAAAAATTCCCAAATTTTTAACCCCAAAGGTGGACGCGGTCGCTTACGTAATGCGTAACGCCATCCACTCTTTGCACTCGTGTATTTGCTGCACATATTTTTTCTGGAAACCGGAGTCGGCATGTTCAGGTAATTTCAGATGGTTTCATTGGTGGTTTCAGATCGTTTCAGATGGTTTCAGGTGGTTTCAGGTGATTCCAACTTTTACTACCTACGCTTCAGGTTTGAAATCGATGCGGCTGGACGAAGGTACGCAACAATGAGCCACGATGAAATGTCAAAGAATCATCCTAGAGGATTGAACGATGTAGAGAGCACAGAAAAAGAAGCAAGAATGTATGAAACACAAGATCAAGGAGACGGCTACAAAGCGCTGAAACTATACCTGCAGAAAGTCAATCCAAATTGCACTGCCTTTTTCCAGTATCCGAAGAAAAACTGTGCAGCCGAAGATGCAGTTTGGTACGAAGCACGACCGCTTGGAATACACAGCCTCACTAAAATGATGAAAAATATCAGCGAAGAAGCGAATTTATCCAAAGTTTACACAAATCATTGTGTAAGAGCTACTGCCATCACTCTCTGGTCCAACGCTGGGATTTCTAACCGCCATATCATGGCCATTTCAGGACCGCAGTGAACAGTCCATGGTTAGAAATCGAGGTTAGTCAGCGGCTGATGTCGCGGACGCAACATGAGCTGCGTTCACCTTACTGCGCCTGCGCATTCCGCTGAAGTCTTATCAAAACATGTCGCAAATTACCTTTTACAAAGCGCTCGATAGGCTTAGCACAGCCGAGTTTTACTTCAAAAGTAAGAAAAGGAAGGCTTCATCTGGCAGATTATTTGAAATTGAAAGAGTGGTTTCAAAGAGAGTTAAAGAGGGAAAGGTAAGCGATTGTTTTGATACCACATTTGTTCGTCACACTGCGTGCAAATCATAGTTTTTGTCTTAAAATTATCTTCGCGTGGCCTCCCTTATTGTTATTTAGAACGAGTATTTCATCAAATGGAAAGGTTACTCCAGTCTTGAGAACTCATGGGAGCTAGAAGAAAATTTGAACTCGCCTGCTTTGAGGTAAAAACCTATTGTGACGAGGAAGGAGAATTAGAAACGAAGATATTGGAAATTCGTTTACTACCGTATTTAGCAGTCAACCTGTATTAATTTGTCAGATGGCTATTTCACGATTTAATGCATGGATAGGTGTATTAAAGAATTTTACTTTTTTAAGGTCATTTTTCAACCCAAGGATTTCACGCGACGAAATTCAGAATGCCACTGAAGCTCTACACTGTGGAATTTTAGAGCATCTCAAGTCGAAAAGCTCACTTACCACTGTCATTTCTTTTAAACATAGACATTTTAGTTTTCTTTTTAAAAATAAAGGGCAGAAAAGCAATGATAGTGGGCACATCCTTCTAGAAAAGGAAGACTTTTCAAGATGCCACTTCCTAAACCAGTGGGACATGATTGTTGAGGAGTTAGGTGATGGGGTAAAAATTGACTTTCCTGTCAAAGTAAGACTGTTTTTATCTTGGAGTCCAAAAAATCATACCATGGCAGGAGAGTCAATTGTTCCTCTCCCTTGGTACAGGCCCGAGAAATTGAGCCTTTCATTTTGCAAAGGAGCATGTAGCCTGTCCTGAGAAGTGATTGAAATGCACATCTGATCTTCTCTATTTTTATATAATAGATATATTTACAAGTCTGCTGAATGTGTACATATGTTTGTTGATGATACTGGAGATGGAGTAGAAATTGATTTCCATTTCTGGTTATTTTTATCATGATAGTATATTATTTTGTAAATGAGTTGAATTATTTTTCACTCTCTTTTCTTCGTTTCTCTTTGATTTCTGTCTCCCAGTAAGCATCGTGTTTCTTGGTATATTTCTGTTTGGAACGTTCCCTCTCGCGCAGCTGCCATTGTCGAAATTCCAATTGTAGGATATCAGCAGCAGGATTTCTCTTGTTTGCCTTGTGGAGCACAACATTTCTGGCCATGTCATTGTTTTTTTCAACCCCTTGACCAGTAAATGGTTTGACTGATTTGTACTTTTTCATGAAAAGTGGAACATGATAGACAAGTGCATGCATATATGGAGTAACATCTGCCTTTTTATAACCAAGTAACTTGTCTCTTAGAGATGTAAATAAATTGATCCATGCTTTGGCTTTATCAAAACAAGTGAGGTATGTTGGGATAGAGGGGTTTTTGTTTGTGATTATTTTATAAAGTTCATGAAAGTCTTTCCATATTTTTATAACTGTTTGACTTGTTTCAGGGTGAATACAATTTGACAATTTGTCTGGTAACTCAGCAAGAAGTTTCTTTTTATCAGCTCCAAGTAGACTTGTGAAATCGTACATTCCTGACCCTTTACCATCTGCATTTGTCTTTTCCCATATTTGAAATGAAATGCCACAGGATCTAATGTTTGTTTGCAGATTGTTAAATTGGGTGTTATTTTGGTTAGCTTTTCTCTTGTTGAAATTTTCCTTTTTGTCCCATTGAGCCATTTCTTTCACTAAGTTGTTGATTAGAACATCCATGATACGTAAAAGTAAGTGTAGTTCATCCAAAACTACATGGTCTAGTTCTACTTTTAACAGTGGTTCATGTTCACATGAGTATTTGTCTGTATTTCCTTTCTTCCTGCCTAATGTAATGACTTCCTGTAGTGTTCTCTGAAGTGGAGATTTATTGCAGTGCTCCAGGTCAAATTCCATATTCCATCTGTTGGTTTTTGCTATTTTGCACCACAAGCATGCATAAATAGATGTGGCACTTTTCATACCAAACATTAACAAAAGAAACTTGTAATCGCCACCAAGGAAGAATTCAAGATGAAATGAAGAATTATTTATAGTTACTGGCTGTTTGTATTGTTTTAATTTATTTATTTCATTAAATACTGTTCCAAATGATTCTTGCAAAGTTTGATAGCATTCAGATCCCTTAACAATGGCCACAGTGTGATTACCACCAGCAGACATTACATCATCCCCAGCTTGTAGTAGTGAAAATGAAAGCAAAATGAATGAGGAGTTCCTTGTCATTCTAGCTCCATCTCCTGACATTTTAACTTGAATTGGTTTGTCTGCCCAGATTTTTCCTTCTTCTCTGCTCATCATGTCTGCAACTCGTTCTTTCAAGAGATCAGTAAATGACATTTGTGCACCCTCAGAGTTTCCTGGTGTTGGGCTGATGTGACAAATGTCATTTAGCTCATCTCTCTTTTGTTTGACCAGGTATGATTTTGGAAGTCCATCAACAATCATAGTCAGTTCGTGATAAAATACATCACCTATGCAAAATTTATCGAGTAAGAAAAGCACCTGCTCAATTTTTGCCCTCTCAGTGTCAGCCAAAGAATCAATTCCTCCCTTTGTTTTACCATTTTCTCCATTTCCCATCAGGAGGTGTGCCTCTCCAGTTTTCTGTTCTTTTACTATCTCATGTATGCCCAGACCAAAAGATTTTGAAAACCACAAGGCAGTGTTGGCTCTAGAGAGAGATGTTTTCAGTGTTCTTGATTTCTTCGTAACATCAGCAATGTCCTTGCCTTTATTCAATGGGCTTTTTTCTAAACAAGCAACATATTTCAAGAGCTCATCATTTTTCTGTTCCAGTTCAACAATTGTGTTCTCTTTCTCTTTAATTGCTTGGCACATCTCACTGTATAGTTTCTTTATCTCCTCTTGAAGGTTTGAATAACGTTTCCTCCATTCTTCCATCTAGAGCTCAGAAAGAGCTTTTTTTCATGAATTTCAGTAAACATGATCACATTTGTCTTCGATTGACTTGACTAGTAAACCCGCGCAATGCCTAGTTTTTGCGCTCTTGTTTTGTTTGGTTATGTAAGACTACTCGAGCATTTTTGTTCATAAAAGGAAAATTCTATGGCTACAATGTATCGATGTTATCTTATAAAACAAATGGTAAACACCACAGCGTACACTATTGAGTTATGGATGCACTTGGGAGGTTTCCTAAGCACTCGGGAAGCTGGAGTCGCTCTCAGCTTCGCCTCCCGCGACTCTCGCGCTTCTTTCGTGCTTAGCAACCTCCCGCGTGCATCCATAATTCAATAGTGTACGCTGCGATGTTTACCATTTCTTAATTCGTGGAGCTGCAAGGTAGGTACTCTAACTCACTCTACCTAAGCGTCATATTAGTAGTCCTGGCGCGGTTAGTTAAACCAATTCGAATGGATAGTCAATCAAGCACAGTTGGATTCAATTCATTGATTGAATTGGATTTCGTTCGCTCACAGTTCGATGAATGAAAGGCTGCAAACTGTTTTCAAGCGTGAGAGTTTGTTACATACTAGATCAAAGTTTGAATTTGTCAAGTTTTACACGTTCAAAGGACTAGGATCAATTATTTCAAGCCAAATTAGAACTTGTATCTTCGCTTGTACAACCAACACTACATAATGACATCTACAGGAATGTGTTCATCTTCAAAGAACAACTGAATGGAAGATGTTCGATAAGAATCATTTCTATTTGAATTTTTTTTTGAGTGTTTAGGTTATTGATGAAGTAATCTGTGTTGATGTTGTAGTTCCTGGAATAATATTTCATATGATCCCCACTCAGCCTCTTTTGGGTCTTGATTGACCCCATCTTGAGGTTAATATCTATAGAGGGTCCCCTGTACTTTTTACGTGAAGCGTGACTGAGCGATTATTTTTTCTCGTGAATTGTGATTTTATGTTTTTTATTCGTGAACTGTGAGTAAAGATGATATCTTTTCATGTTCAGGTAAACAAATTTTTCTATTTAAACGTGACCTGTTAATAAAAAGCTAAGTTAAATGTGATTCGTGGACCATTTTGTTTTGTGCGATAAATTTCTAGCTATTTTATTGTTTTGAAAATGTATGCATTAATGTCGAATGGCTCTGGTAGGTTTTGATCAGGGTTTTGACAGTACGTGGACTTCATATAAATTGATAAAAGTTATAAAACAGACCACGAGTGGTTCTTGAACAAATAAGATATGATGTCCTCTCTGGTCAAGACTACTCACTAGAAAGAGTAAAGTATTTAATCAACGCAATTGTCTTGAATTTTGCTTTAATAGGAAAGACTTTTGGATAGTATTTGTGATGCATGAGAAAGCGAAGTATTTTTACGTTACTGAGTTTTACAAAGGAGTATAGCAGACCCTCTCTGTAGATGTCTGGGATGGTTGTAGCAAAAAAGAAGAAACTTGAAAACAAAGACTAAGAAACGAAAGCCCCTTTCTTTTCTTTGTATAACAAGATCTTGTTATGGTTTCATGGCAAAAATATCCAAATCCAATTTTAATCTTTCAAATTGTGACAAAACATGCAATGTAATTAAAAAACGTTTTTTTAATTATATTGCAATGGAAGACCCACAAACAAACACCCCTAATTGTCAAAATAACATGCCAACATGAAAACAGAGTTCAGTGGGAAAAAATGAGGGAAATAAAGGAAATACATTTGAATCCCGATACAGTCCAAGGTTTAAATGACAATGATGTCAGGCTTGATTGAATCAGCAATTAAAATGTCTTTATCTATATTACCTGACTATGTTCAATTTCTTGTTTTGAAGTTTGTGAGGAAAGGCAAGTAGAGTAAAAATGAGGCATAGCAAAAGAAGGAGTGGACTCAAATGTGCCAATACTGACAACTGCTTTCACTCAAAAAGAAATCAGACAACACATTTTGGAACTCCCAGAGATGAAAGGCCTTACAAATGTACACAATGTGAGAAGAACTTCAAAAATCAAAAAGCGTTAAACCAACACCACAGGGTTCATAGCGATGAGAAACCTTATCAATGTATACAGTGTGAGAAAAACTTCAAGCAACAACAGGGGTTACATCAACACCTCAGCATTCATAGTGACGAGAAACCTTATCAATGTACACAGTGTGAGAAGAGCTTCAAGCATCAACGCTTGTTACGTCAACACACCAGGGTTCATAGTGGTGACAAACCCTACAAATGTATTCATTGTGACAAAACATTTAATCGATCAGGAAATTTGCAAAGACACTTCAGAGTTCACAGTGGTGAGAAACCTTACAAGTGTTCTCATTGTGACAAATGCTTTACTCAAAATTGGAGCCTGACAATGCATAACAGATCATACCATGGAAATTGGCCTCACAAGTGCAGCTATTGCAGCAAAGGGTTTGAGGATCAGAGGAGCTTAAAGAGACACAAGTGTAGACAACTATCTTTGGATAGAGAGAAATTCACTTGTTGGATGTGTGGTGAATTTTGTCACAATTGTTGTGGCATACTTCACCACATGTATGAACATGGTATGAAAAAAGAGTAAACAGATATTTTTCTGATCATTCTGGAGCAAAAGTGTTATTGAGGGTTGAGGTCTCTTCTGGTTAAGTCCAGCCCTTGGATAACCTTGATAATGTGTGCTGAAGAATCTGGTGGTTTACTTTTACTTTTGGAACTGAGAAGTAAATAATCATGTTGCAATTGAGTTTGTTGTTATTTTATTACTGTACTTAGATCATGGCATTTTTATTAGTAGCACTATAATTTAGCATTTATATGATGTTCATGTGTTCTTCAACTGCTTAGTTTAGTCACTTTGTTGAGTAGTAATTAACCGTAAGAATATTACTGATGTGTGGAATTTTACCATGTACTCAGTGACAGCATGTTTTGCCTAAATTCTTTTCTCTTTTAAATGATGATTGTAAATTCACTCAGTTTTTGCATGCTACTCTTTTAGGTTTAGCTGAATTTCTAAATTCAAAACTTGCTTGTATCTGTTTAAACTACATACTCTATTATCACCTCAAACTAATATTATTTGTTTCTCTTTTTTTGGTGTAAACAAATCGGATCATGTTTCTGTAGGTACTCTTGACTGGTATATCCACCAATGTCGATATCACCAATGTCGATCAACACTTTGTTGACACTTGGTCAATAGTCAGCTGATAGTCTGCTTATACTAGTTTTACACTCATCAATATTCAGTTGATACTTGGTCAATACTCAGTTAAGACTAAGTTGATAGTCGGTCAATGTATGGGTGGAGATTATCAACATCAAAATTGATTGAGAAAAATGAAGTCAAGTTTAACCTGTAATACTAATTGCCTGAGGGGAATTCTTGGAGTGATGCCAATGTACCCTGGTAGCTCCACAAGGGAGGTGCTTGAGGGCTCTGTAACTCTGTAAATAATAAAGCAAATAAACTTCAACCTCTATATAGTGTTGTTTGTGTTACTTTCGTTTTGTTCTTTGATAGCAATTTTAGGCCATTTGGTTGAGTTTTAGCTGAGCTCGACTCATCACTGTAATGCCTGCACTAAGAAGAATTAGAATGGGATGAGAACTCTGCTAATGCTCAATGAAATGGCTTGAAAATCATTACCAAAGAACAAAAATAACGCAAACAACAGTATCTGAAAGCTAAAGTTTATTTGCTTAAAGTCACAACAACCCAGTTTGGGGTAACTGCGTCTTTATAAGACCATACGCGATGCTTCACAGAACAGGAGGGGTAAATAGAGGTGAGAGAAAAAAAATTCACAGTATAACATTGATTCCTCACTGATCGTGAAGGGAATACTTACTAAAATTGCACCAGTTTGCTTATACTTGCACCCA